GAAGGACCCCCATGAATGTGGAAAAACCACAAATAAAAAGATACTATTCTTTTTACCTGAGAGAACACCTCTGTAGGAATCTCCAGATCCTCCAGTGCAACTATGTGACCAACATCTGTCAGATATTGATCACAGAATCATACCAGAGGACCTACAAATGCCTAGAGAAGTGTTTCCCCTAGGAACCTCTACCATCCCTAGGGTTGGTGTCACCCAGTGCAGTAACTCATGGTGTCACCCCCTCCCTTGACCTCCTCTCATTTCACACATTACAAAATGCTTAGTAATGCTTTTTTGTACTAATGTTACTCGTAAATCATAATTCCCATATACCACTGAATGTAATGCTAATAGTTGTGACAAACAACCAGCAAAATTAAAATTATAGCTTAAAATTAAAATATCATACACACAGCTGAAATGTATTTAGTGAAGGCGTGGTTAAAATGTGGTGTTTTTAAAGAAAATTGAAAAAGAATAAAAAATAATTTCTCCTCCCACTGATCATCACCCCACTCCCACCATCTCTTAAAGCATTTTAAAGAGAAGCAAATAAATGCCACAGCCTATTTCTGCCCAAAAGGTAGGTATTTGAGAAGCAGTGGTATCACCCCCTCTTAGGATGTCGCGTGATGCAGTCCACACCCCCTGCACCCCCCTAGTGACACTACTGTCTCCAGCACAACTCTGTGGTCAAGAGTTGTGCTGGAGAACCTAGAGGTTCCTAGAGAGAACATATTAATCAAAACTTCAAATAATCAAATCCACAAAAGTCAAAACCGCAAATGTGGAGGGCCAACTAACTTATGAAATGGGATGACAAATTTAAAAATTGAATTCCAATCATTTTTCACCTAAAAAACATTTTTTTTTTCAACTTTCACCTTCTTAAGCTACAAATGTAATCAGGGTACACAGAATTCACATTACTGCTCAGACTGTTGGACTACTGAAAGATAAGTTCGAAAAAATAAGAATGCAAAATTAGAACAGAAAACAAATGCAGATTGTAATAGGCTAGAAAACACATACAGCAAGGAACCTGCTGGCAAAATGAGGAACTGCTTGTCTTCTACCCCCCATTCCAAGTGTTACCTTTCATCACAGTATGAAAATTTCATGTCAAGGCTGTGGCGGCTGAGGAATGTTTTGCTGTCCAAGGGGACTTCGATATTTGATGGATGAGGGATAGGCTCACAGATTAATACCAAACATGTCATTGGAGGTTTTTTATATCCACATACTGTCTGATTATTGCAATTGTCATATACTCGAATGTGTCCTGTGCAATGAAGTACCTGAATATAAGAATGGGGGGAGGGGGGGGAGAAGGAGGAGGCTTTATTAAAAAGCATTTTTGTCACACCAACTAAAATAGTTTCAATAAAAATCAGAACAGTCTGGGTTTTGGGCTTCAAGACATGGTAGAAAAAGGAGGAAGGGTGGAGGAATCTAAGAAACAAATGCAGACACCAATTCTTACAGTTACATAATATCCTTTCTAACAGCAGCTGGGATGAAACAGTTCAGGGAAAGAAAGAGCCAAGAGGAGCTGGCCTTTCATCACAGCCAGTGCTGTGGCCCCAATTCTCATTTCTCTGCTTTAGAGTGATGACTGCTGCTAGGCGATAGCTGTGAGACAGTCAAAGGCAGTTTCTCAGAACAACCAACAGAATGACCTTGCTTCCCTTCTCTCTTTCTGTGGCAGCCGGATGTTTCACAGCTCAGTACACTTAAGGCAGAACTACTCCAGGATTCTTAGGCCTATATATGTACCATATTTCACACTCATCAAGTGGAACTTCTTTAACTGCAGACTTAACATTATGGCACTCTTGCCAAACAAAAACAAAAGCCAACTCTTATGTAAGCTCGAGGTCACAAACACACTCCTTTGAGTGTGTATAACACAAGAGTGGGAAATAGTTATCATAGTTATCAAAGACCCATAATAAAATTTTTTAAATTGCAGCAAACTCCTGAGACAGGTATCCAGCTAAAGATACAAAGCAGCAAAACACCGTTAAGTTGCAAGGAGGTATCTGACCAAGGTGACAAGAAACCTTACTTTAAGAGAATGCTACTACTTTTGTCTTGGTCATAAAATTCCAATTATCCCAAACAAGTCAAAAGCTAATGGGCACAAGATGTATAGCTTACAGTGAAGAACAGTACTGGAATACTAGTGCTGTGCTCCTGAAAGGCTCACTAGATTATGAGCAATTATACACAAATAGGTCTGGATATAAACCCTCCCACTACAAAAGGTGGTATTTGCTTTTAGAGCACAAGTACAATTACCTTCCATGTGGCAGACTTTATATTGACAGTCCTTCCTCTGCTGGTCAATGTACACTTCATTCTGAGGAAAAAGCTGCGTTCTGTGTTTTGTTCCTTTCCCTTTTTCACTGGACCTAACATGAGAGTGCAACATCATTGTTAATCATTTCACACAAAACGAAACCCAGAAATTAGCAACTGAAACACACATACAGCAAATGTAATATTCTAAATATTGGGCACCCCAACTAGCCTGTGGAACTCTGCTACAAGAAACAGTGGCTGTAATCACATGGAATGAATGGCAAGCCGGGATCTTGGGAGAATCCTGGTTTACTGTGGGGAAAAATGTTTGATTTTGGTTTATGAAGCCTGGCTTCTAAAAACAAACAAACAAAAAATCAAGGTCTCAAGTTCACAAAATATGCTAAACTTCTGGTTCCTAGTTAGTTTAGCCACTCTTACTAAGGAATGTGGCTTGTTTGCAGCAAGACAGGATTCCCTAGAATCCTGAGTGGCCAGTCTTGCGCTAGATATATTATCAACCCAATTAGTGTCCTTGCTATAAAATAAATGGTCATAGTTACAACACCACTTCCAAAAAAAAAAAAGTTGCAATTAAGAGAGAGAGAGAAAGTAAGGTGCTTAGTAGTAATGAACTAAATATAATGTAGTTACCTGTTACTTCACTTTTTTGGGCAAAGAGGGTAGAACAAAGTTTCTTTCCAAAAATAAGGCAACTGGGAGGAATGAAACAAGTAATGTTGCCTAGTTATTTTTAAAGGTATTTGCAGACATTGTGAGCAAGGAAAAGAAAAACCATGTTTTATGCCACTCCTTTATCAACCTCAAAGGTGTTTTTTTTAAGTAAGCAAGGAATAAAGTAACAAAAATATCAAATTATACTCTGCAATATTAACAGTAACTAATTATTTTCTTGCCTTTTAATTAGTTAACTTTGAAAGTCACATTTCAAGCTCTGCTTCAAAAGTGCATAAATAATTCTCAGGATAATAATGGGGACGGTGCAAAAAAGGGTGGATTGACAGTCTAAAAGGTTCCACTAAAAACACAATAAATCACACACATTAAAATACTAAGAAAATTATAATATCATGCATATTAAATTATATGATTTACAAACTGATTAAAACAATTCAAGAACACCCTGTTTGTAATAAAAAGCAGTAAAATATTAAGAAGGTCAGAACATCCTGTGACTTTAAGAAGCAGTCAGTTGCTGAAGGTATGTCTTAATGCACCAAGCCAAAAGGTCTTTATCTGCCAGTAGAAGGCCAACAACGAGAAGGGTAGCCTAAACTTCTTTTGAAGGGAGTTCCATAATGTATAAATGGCCATTGAGAAGTTCCTTATTTGGGTCTGCAGAAGGTGATATGTCTGACAGGAGAGACTCTCCTGAAGCTCTCACAGATTGGGCAAGATAATATGAGGGAATAGAGTGGGTCCTAGTTATCCATTAGGGTTTGGTTCCAGGTTCCCCTGTGGATACCAAAACCCATGGTTTTTCTAGGTCGTATTATATACAATGAAGCAGTAAAATGGTGTCCCTTATATAAAATGGCAAAATCAAGGTTTGCTTTTGGGATTTATTGTTATTTTTTGAATATTTTCAAGCCATGGATGGCTGAATCTGTGGCTATGGAGGGCCAAATGTACTTTCAGATAGCCTGCATCAAGATTTTAAAGGAGCACTGTGAGCTGTGCTTGGAAAAATCACAAGATTCAGCTTTAGCTCCACACAGAGGCCACCAACATCCATTTGGGTGCAAAGGCAGGATATACATTTAATAAATAAATGAGAGATGGCTTGGCTTACTTGCTTTCTCTCCCTTTTAATTAGAAGCAAAAAAAAAAAAACCCTAATCCTGTAGCAGGCCAAACCAGACTTGGTTTATATTCAAGAATGTACTTAAAGAACTTCTCAAGTACATGCTGTAAACAGATCCATCATTAAGGTTCCACTCTGTGGAACTGAGAAATTCAAGTTAGGACAGAACAGTACACCTGACTCATAATTAGTGTTTCCAATACTACACAATGACTGATAAGTATCATGATGGTACACAAAATAGTTTGTGCTGCCATTGCTGCAGTATCAATAACATTTAAGACAAAGGTATGGCACACTGGTCCCATTATACTGTCCATACCCTACAAGCCAACTATTCCAAGCTTAACTACTCTGTAGTCATTCACTGATCCTATATTAGCTGCAGTTAAAAGGCATATTATGTGGCCATCCCAAATAGGTATCCCTGCCTATGAGAAGCAGTTTAGGGAGCTGGGTATGTTTAGCCCAGGGAAGAGAAAGTTAAGAGGTGACATGAAAGCCATGTTTAAATATTTGAAGGGATGTCACATTGAAGGAGCAGTAAGCTTGTTGTCTGCTGCACCAGAGATGACATGGAGCAATGGATTCAAGCTACAGGAAAAGAGACTGCACCTCAATTAGGAAGAAATTCCTGACAGTAAGAGCTGTTCAACAGTGGAATCCAGAGTGGTGGAGTCTCCTTTGAAAATTTTTAAACAAGGCTAGATGGTCATCTATCTGGATCGCTTTGATTATGTCTTCCTGCTTGGCAGGGAGTTGGACTGGACAGCCCTTGTGATCTCTTCCAACTCTATTATTATGAATACATCTTGCCAAGACAAATCTAGGCCAGGGTTGCCATAAATTGGAACTGTTCTGGAGGTGGGGAGCCTGTTTGATATAGTGGTATCACTGCTGAACTAAAACTCCAAGATACCAGGGTTCAAGTCCCCATGTGGGCATGGAAAACCACTAGGCAATATTGGACAAAACATACTCTCTCAGCCTCAGAAGATGGCAATGGCAAATCCTTCTAAACATATACTGCTAGGAAAACCCCATGATAAGACTGCCTTAAGGTTGCCATAAGTCAAAAATGACTTGAAGGCACACAACAACATCATTTCAGTTTCCTTAAGGTTTCCTTGCATAAGTCTTGGCATGAAGATTTTGAGGCACTGATTGTTCTACACCAGGGGTAGGCAACCTTTCCCCTTTAAGGGCCGAGGGACTTCAGCTCCCAGAAGCCTCAGCCATGTTGGCCAATAGTTCCATGTTGGCTAATAGCTCCTGGGATTCTGGGAGCTGAAGTCCCTCGGCCCTTAAAGGGGAAAGGTTGCCTACCCCTGTTCTACACCAATGCTACTGAATGTGGTGTTCCATGGATGGATGCAAGGTGTATGATCCATTAGCTGCTGGTGGGTAAAAAGCTCCCATAAAGAAAAATGCCAGTCTGCCACATCCAATAGTCTGAGAAATACAGTGTTATGCAACTCTTGGGTTGAATGGCAACATTAAGCAACTGTAGAACTTATGCACAGAAAGACAAATAGGATTACAGTTTTATATTTATATTATACTTACAAAAACATATATATGCCTTTTTTAGAATGGGAGTATTCATTTGTTGTTCTTGTTAACTGCCCTCGAGTAGATCTTGACTCATGGCAACCCTATGGATCTCAAATGCATTGATTTTCTTCCTATCATCTTTCTTAACTATTCAGCTCTCACAACCATACATGGTAATAGGGAATACAATGGCTTGTATGATTCTAACTTTTGTGCTGAGTTGTATATCTTTGCATTTCAGAATCTTTTCTAGTTCTTTCATAGCTGCCCTCCCCATTATTAGTCTTTTTCTGATTCCCTGACTGCAGCCACCATTTCTATTGATTTTTGATCCCAGGTATAGGAATTCTTTTACTATTTCTATTTCTTCATTGTCTAGGTTGAACTTGTGAAGGTCCTCAGTTGTAATTATTTTTGCTTTTTTATATTCAGCATTAAGCCTGCCTTTGTACTTTCTTCTTTGATCTTCCTTAGTAGGTGTTCCAAGTCTGTGAGGTTTTCTGCTAGTATTATGGTGTCATCTGCATATCTTAAATTGTTGATATTCCTTCCTCCTATTTTCACTCCTCCTTCTTCTGTGTCCAAGCCTGTTTTTCCTATAATATGTTCTGCATACAAGTTGAACAGATAGGGTGAAAGTATGCAGCCTTGTCTGACCCCTTTGCCAATTGGGAACCAGGAAGATTAAATCAGTCAGAAAAATATAATAAACTATGGCATAAACACTTTTTTTCAGGCATTGAAAACGTCAACTTGGATGCTGTAGAGTTAATTTACTTTGGCTTTACCCTAAATTAATTAAGCGTAAGTTTAAATTATTAGTAGCAGCAAGCAGTCAGATGCATGATTTAAGGAGGGGCCATTGGGTGGTGAAATCAAAAGCTAGAAGAATTCTCTCTTACCATTCCGGTGGGTGAGCATCTCTCTCAGCTCTTCATGGTCACACGGATGAGTGAAATCAAACACACTATGTCCAGTCAGGTCAAACTATAAAGGAAAGAGAAAGCTTAGTACAGTGCAGTGTATTTATAGCAGATAAAACACATGACACAATTCCATTTCAGCACTTATAAGTCAGTGGGACTTTGGCTAGATTGTATCCACTATGATACAGCAGTGGGAAGAATTGCTAATTTCATCATACCTGTGTGAGTCCCATACACTTGTTCACATTTTCAGACATGTAGATCATGTCGCCATCCTCTGAGAGAACCATGACAAATCCGTCAAGAGCTTTTAAGTAAAAGCAATTCAACTGTGTCTCCATTTCAGCTTCTGCCTCCAGGTCACCTAGAAGAGCCAGTACAGATTAGATAAACCTGGTCTATCACCAATGTTTATGTTTACTTTTTGATGCCAGTCATTACTGTACAAAAATGATACACAATGGCGTAAAATGTAAGCAAACTGGAAACTTGGTGTTGATCAAGCAAATGGATTGACAGACTATCTCTTTATCTATGTACCTTATTTTCCTGCGTATAAGACTACTTTTTTACCTGCAAAATCTGTGGCTAAAGTGGGGGGGGTCGTCTTATATGCCGGATATAAGGATAATGAGGATAGAGGTGCTAAAACTCTATATTTTGACTGGAAAAATGGGGGGGTCGTCTTATACGCGGGTCGTCTTATACGCCGGAAAATACGGTAGGTTTTTTAAACTGACACTGTAACCAAGTTTCTCCAGCCAACTGCCTTTCAGATGTCATGGACTACAACCCCTATCATCCACAGCCAACATGACCACATAGCCCAATACATTTGTTTGTGGGCAGGGGAAAGGTGACATAAACTTAAGACTCATTGGACAGTTACAGTGTTAAGTAAAACCTCTAGAACCTACAAGTGCATGCAACCCCACTTAACAATTTGCAAACCACTGAGAGCACATGAAATTCAAAAATTCAGTCTCAGAAACCCGGCATTTCCAAGTACCTTTAAACCACAGTAGGCCTCCATATGATGTTTTACCTTTTCATTAAAGAAAAAATTCCACTCTCTGAGATTAAAACTCTCCCTTTACAAAAAACAAAAAGCCTTATTCTACTAAGAGCAGCAATTAGATAATTTTGCAGCACAGTGAATTGCTAATAGAAAATCTATTCTCCTATGGAGAATAACTATTGTAAAATTTAAACAACCCGGGGTACAAATTGTAACAATCTGGACAACTGACTCTGTATTGGTTAAGCAATGTAACAGTAAGTCTACAGCTATGTAGAAGTTTACAATGAAGTGAAGAATATACACAAATTCACAATAGCAACAGAAGAGAACACAATCTCTATTACACTGCCTAACTGATACTCATGATTGTCAAACAACACTGAGGAATTAATATATATTATTATTTATATACAGTCGAGTCCTCCACATCTGCAGCTGTGACTTTTGCAGATTTGATTATTTGTAGATTTGATATGATATCTCTAAGAATTTCTAGGTCCTTCAGCACAACTCTGCTGGACGTTGACCACAGATTTGCACTGGAGGACCTAGAGATTCCTAGAGAGGTATTCAGTTTTTTATTTGCAGTTTTCCCATTTTCACAGGGGTCTTGTGCCCCTAGCCCCAGTGAACGTGGAAGGCCCATTGTACTATCAGTATGCACAGTGTTTCACACAATACAAGAGCCAGGTCTCTCCTCTGACAAGGCTAGGAATATTAAGCAATAGATTCTTATACTACATCTGAACATTCATCCATCTTGTTCAGCATTGTTTCACCAGTGGTGAGCAACTGTGTCCCTCCAGATGTTTTTGGATGGAAGCTCCCAAAATTCCTCACTGCTAGCTATGATGGCCACAGCTGATGGAAGTTGTAGGCCAAAAATACCTAGGGGGCACAATCATCCATACCTCTCTAGGGTTAAACATCAGAGTATTTCCCAGCCCTACTTGGAGATACTTGATTTGGGACCTTCTATATGCAGAGCATGCATGCAGCTACTAATCTAGGGGCTCCCCAAAGTTACATTCTAAAAGAGGAAGGAGAGAGGAGGGGAGTTGAGGACAAAGAAAAACTGCAAGCCATCCCAAGCTGTGTCATTTTGGTGTGAAAGCTTGTATTGTGTGAGCATGTATTTTATGTACCTGCAAGCTGCCTGTTGACTTATGGTGACCTCATGCATTCCAGAGTTTTCTTAGGCACACAATTCTCAGAGTTGGTTTGCCATGGCTTTTCTCTAAAAACAGCATATAGCCCCTGGAATTCCTTGACAGTTGCCCAGGCCCAACCCTGCCTAGTTTCCAAGGTCTGACAGGATCTTCAGAGTAAATTTTGGGGTGGATTCATGCTCAGCCTCTTGGTCTTTGGCCAATTAGTTTCCCCAAGATTCAGTTTTGCCCTCTATACTCTACATCAGAGCTGAGCAACATGGGGTCCTCCAGATGGTGTTGGACTGCAGCTCTGATTATTCCTCACAATGGTTAAGCTGGCCCGCCCAGGGGCTGGTGCAGTCCAATGATGTCTGGAAAGCCACATATTCCCCAGCCCTGATCTTCTTGTCCTCATATTCTGGGACACTGTGGAGGTTCAGAATTAGTGGTTGGTGTTAGTAATGAGGTGGAGGAAATAATTCTTTAAATAAACCGAAGTTAAATCTGGACAGGAAGAAGATTCTACTGCTTGGGAGTTCAGTAGGAGGAGGAAAGAACAGGGTTTTTAAAAACCCAGAAAATAATTGTGAAGTCGTAGGCTTTCATGGCCGGCATCCATAGTTTTTT